GTGGGAATTGAACTTGTACTCAACCGCTTGGGGGTGCGACAACTTCACCACTTCACTAAGTCGCCACACCCTATCTTATATATTTTGTACTATTATGTATTAATATTTTATTATAAAATAGTTCTAAAAACCCTGATCTGAAAACTGCTAAAGATATCATTTAATGATGTATCACATTGTGTCCAGAACTCTCATTAAATAAAAATTTACAAATTATAAAACATAATATCAGATGAAGACTTTATAGAACAATTAGTATTCAAATAGAAGTTAAGATCATAAAGAATTTTACAAATAAAGATGTCATAATTTGCTATAACTATGAGCATCACTCTTATAGAAATGCATTTAAAAATATAAAATAGTTAAATATGATATTTATTGATATAAATTTGTTTTTTTAAATAGGATATTCTTCAAGTTGAGGTTTATACTTAGAAGCTTTTAAACTTATTTAAAAAAATATTTCAAAGAAATATAAAGGTTAACCAAAATTGTGATTAACGATAATGCATTAAAAAAAATAAATCACTTTAAAATAAAGGCTTGTTTCACTATAACTACAGTATCTAGAAAAAAACATGTTTAATTAATATGAAATGCATTACACAACATGTTTGTATTTTCTGTTAGAGCCAGTGATATTTTCATAAATTTTTAGAAAGTTTCATTATTTTTATATACTATTTTAACAAAATTTACGATTAATTATTGTATTAAAAAAAGTAAAAAAAACATTGCATCTAAAATAACTATTCTCTTACAATTTAAAATACCTAAATTTGGTAGTTTAATACAAAGTTGCCTTGAATCTAATGAATAAATCTGCTTATTAATAACACTTTTAAATAGATCTATTAATTGAAAATCATTCTTACTATAAGTATTAGAACCCATATCCGTTAGTGTCAGAAAATTTAAAAGCTGACTAGTATAAAATGCTTGTGAATTAAATGCAACTTTATTAGGGTCATATCTGAAGAATTCCTTGTTAATTTTTTAAATTTGTTTATATAATTTGGATGATTTATCAATAAAATGGCCCTATTCTTCAGTCTTTCATTGATTAAAGATGTCCAAAAGCTCTTGAGAAGTTGGTTTGCTACCAGAATCTGTGTTTCAACATTATTCTATCATATCTACAAGTAGTCTGGGAATGTTGCAATAAATTTTGAGATGAAGGTCTGCTAAAATTTGTACTGCAAAATAAGTATTATGTGGGATATTATAATATGGTAGATATCTTGTTAAAATTTCTAACATTATAATGCCAAGAGAGTATATATCTGATGATTTGATATATTCTTAATCTGTTAATATTTCTGGAGCTATATATAGAAGGATACATAAATTTTGGTTGAAACAACTAATTGTGATACTGGCCTGCATATTCCAAAATCTGTAAAGTACAGGTTGAATTTATTATAACAAACTATATTACCAAAGTGAAAATTTTTATATATCAGTCTTTCTTTATATATTTTATTCAGATTATTGATGATTAAATATATATGTATCACCTTATTGTCCTAATCAAATTTATTAAATTTATTGTCAAATAATTTTTTAAGGCTTCTTTTTTTAGTGTAATCTATAATCATTATATAATTGTTGGTCACTGGATCTTTGGTAATACTATAAATTGTGATTGAAGTACTCTTCTTTCTAAGTTTTAATTGACTTCGAACTTGTAAATAAATATATTAAAATAAATATGCTAATATTAATTAAAGATGACAAAATTTAATGTACTCAATAAAATATACCTTCTCTAAAAATTCAGAAGAAATATCTACTAAATCATTTAAGCTTTTTAGGCAAATATTTTTATCAAAAGATCTATCCTATTTTTGTTTTTCATGATTTTAGCAGAGAATGTAACTATCTTTCCATCTTGCTTTATAAACAGTACCAAATCTGCCTCTTGACAGATACATGACATCTTCAAACTTTTTAAACGAAACTCACTCAAGAACTTTGTCAGAATTACATGCTTTAAGTTAAATATTTTGAATAAATTTATCCACAACTTCATTATAGAGATGTTAATGGAGTAAGGTACTCTGGAATAACTTCAAAGTATAGCCCACTCTATACTAGTGTGATTTAGGCAAAACATCACTTTAGATTATTAAGATATAATGAATCGAAGTAAATACTCCAGAGTAATACTATTAATATTAAATAGATTATACTCCAGAGCATTATATATAATATATAAGAATATATATTTATTATTCTTTAACTCAAACTATTTATTACTTTTAAACTACTCTTAAACTATTTATTACTTTTAAACTACTCTTAAACTATTACTTTTAAACTACTCTTAAACTATTTATTATTCTTTATTTGTTTTTCTAAAAAATTATAACTCACTTAACTATTAATACTAATCTTAATACATATACAGTCTTATTTAACTTTTATTTCTTATTTAACTAATTTATTTATTGCGCTATCGCTATAAAATTTTCTATTACTATTACAATAATATAAAAAGTTGTACTAGACTAGTTTTAGAACCTGATACTGATATAAAGTTTGGTACTTACATATATATATATATACATAAATATGCATATTTTTTGATAAATACCAGTTCACTCTTAGTATTACTCGAACATACATATTGGTTTAAAGTTGCATGTATTTATATAAACAGAGTTTTTAAACAAACAGTAACAGTAATAAAATAAAATTTCTAGCACTTGGGTGAATTATTCTTTTTGTGGTAGTGAGCTTAGATTTCATCTCTATGCGATATTAAGCTTAAAATTTTTTTTTAATACTTTTAAGCAAGCCCCAAATATGCCTTTATTCTTTTTTGCGATACTAAACACATGTTCATTATGATGATAAGCTTTTTGTGGCACTAAACACATGTTCATTATAATAATAATAAGCTTTTTTATAAACTATAACAGTAGATTACAAATATCATATTTTTTGACAAATGCTAAATTAATAATTATAAAAATTATGAATATGAGATTTGACTAATGTAATATAACAAATCAAATAAACAAAAAAAAAAAGAAAAAAAACTTTTAAAAGTGTCAAATTGACGATTATGGAAGGAAAACTCAATTAGTAGTAGTATGATAAAAAAAAAATTAAAAAAAAAAACCAAAAAATTTTTAAAAAAATATATATATTCAACTTAGAAGATCAAATATTAGATATTAAAACATTAGAATATTATGTCTAAAAAAACCAATCTAGATATTGCAGACAATAATGAGGATACAAATTCTGCTATTGCAACTCATGAAGTTACCAACATCGCTAATGGTGAGAATAATATTATTACTGTTAAAGAGAATAATAGTATGTTGTTGAAGAGGATAACAGTGACACTATTGATGATAATAATAGTTTTGCTTTTGACAATGAAAATATAGACTTTATTTTCGATAATAGTGAGAATATAAACTTCATTACTAATAATAATGAAAACATAAGTGTTAATAATGACAGTATGAATTCTATTGTTAACTCTAATAATAGTGATACTTCTGTTAATTATACTAAAAATATTTCAAAAAGAGCTGGACAATACATATCTATTGTATGAAAATTTTTTTCAGAGGAAAAAAATGAATGTGAAAAAGTAGTTGCGGTAGTTTGCAATATTTGCAAGCAGAAATGGAAACCAGGCAACACAACAAGAACATTTGCAATTCACTTTAATAATAAATATAATAGAAATATTTTTTTAAAACAGCAGACAATTTTATGTTTTGCAGCTATACTATATATACTAAAAGAAGCAAAACGAATAAATGAAATTAATAAAAAGGTAGTTGATTTTGTTGTGTGCTCTTTTCGGTTATGAATAATAAATATTTTAAAGAGGTACTTGGTATTTTTGATCTATAATATTGTGTCTTTTGCTAGCAAATATTAAGTAGTAAAGTTAGAAGTCAATTTGAAGATACATGCAAAAAATCATAAGTTTACTTAAAAATATTAACTCAAAGATTTCTATTACGTGTGATATATGGACCTCTATATCAAACCAAGCATATTTGGAAGTAACTGCCTATTATATTAATGATAATTGGGAAGTACAAAGCTTTCTTCTTGATTTAATACACTATTCAGACCACCATTATAGAACATATACTAAAGATTTGCTTTTAATAGTGTTCAATGAATTTAAAATTACACAAAGTATCCTTGAACTTACTACTGATAATGATCCAAGCATGATTGTTAAGGGGTATGAGCTGCAAGTAGCTCTTTCATCATTAGAAAATAATGAATATATGCATTATAGATGCATTGTATACATTTTGAATATCACTGTAAAATATGATATGTAGCTCGAAACTATAATTATTGAAAAAATTAAAAACTTTATAAAAAAAGTACACCACTCCTAATTACTATATAATTCTTTATGAAATATTTGTGCTATTCAAAAAATTAAGTACTTAAAACCAGAACTTGATATTGATACGCACTAGAATAGTATATTTCTGATGCTACAAAGTTTGATAAAATAAAAGAAATATTGGAATATTTGGTTGCAAAAAATAAAAGACAGCTCGAAGATTTGTAGCTTAGTGAAAATGAGTGAAAGCAAATGGATGCAATATTAAAACTTCTTGAACCATTATACCAGGCAACATTACTTTTGTTTGCTAGTTTCTATCTGACAATTAGTAATATTCATCTTGTGTTTACTGGACTTAAGTATCACTTTGATTAATATTTTTCTAATCATAAAGAAGATGAATATTATATGGTACAATCAATAATATACAAACTAAAAGAGTACTGGGATATTATTAAACAATCAACTATATTACCCACTTTGCTTGATCCATACTCAAAATTAATGACTTTTGTAATATGTGAAGCACAATCAACTACTATTAGTATATTACGTGAATGTATGTTAAGCTTTTAAGAAGTACCTTTAAATATGTCTACTATTAGACAAAACAAAAAAAATCAAAAAAAAGAAAAACAAAATCAATGCCTATTCTTTGAATCATTATTACAACAAGAAAATGCTATGCTGGTAAAAAATGAGTTAGAATGATATTTAGCTCTTCCACTTGCCCAGAAGAAAATCTGCTTAAATAGTAGCACAAATTTGAAAAAGAATTTTTAACACTTAGTAAAATAGCAAGAAACTACTTGTCTATACAAGGAACTAGTGTTTTAAGTAAGCATGCATTTTCAGTTGCAGCTTATACTATTTTGAAAATTAGAAGTAATCTTGCTTCAGATTTAGCACGTACTATAATGTGTCTAAAAAGTTAGATAACAAAGATCTGTGATAATTACTATGATTACAATAAATTGTAACAAATCTTTATACTATAGGATACTTTACAAGGTGAGCTTACAACTGTGTATTCTGCTAATTAGAAACGCACAACTACGGATAGTATTTTAAATCAATTTATTGCATTCAAATTATTATGATCTTATAATAGTAATAGGTTTATATTTTTAGATTAGTATTTCTTATTGTTTTGTGAGTTAAATAGATTTTTTTGGTAGATTAGATAATGTTTAAAAAGTAGTAAAAATTTTTAATTACTTTTTAGGTTGCAATTTTTTTTTTTGGTAGTTTTATTGAATATATATAGTTACACACAATCACCAAGCATAATTATACTAATTTATATATTTAGATATCGTGAAATAGCCTAATAAACCGTAAATATTGCTTAAAGAGAATTAGATATCTTACTTATCATTATGAACTTATTGCTTTATTAGAGTTGTTATTTGCATTTTTGATAGGTATAAGACTGATTTTTTATTTGCGTAACTAAGCTTAAAACTTAAATTTCTCGTAATTACAAATTCTATCAAATAGCCCTAACAAAAACTTGTTTTTGTAATAAATATAAATTGAATGTACAGTATTGAACACCTATCTTGATATGTTTTTAACTATCGCTATCATTATACCAATTAATTTAAAATTAACTTTATATTTTAAATCTAAGTATATAGATACTAAATATAAAATAATTTTATTTTAACATATATATGATATAAATACCAGGTTAAGATTTATAAAGACTCATGTACATAGCTTCAAATAGAAATCATTCTCAAAAATATTTTTATAACACATGAATTTGTTATATTTTTTTATTTGTCTATAATAAAAGAATCTATAATATATAAATTATAATAGTACTCCGGGTTATAATCTGGATTATGCTCCGGGTCATGCTCTAAAGTATACTCTAGCTTAATACTCTAAGTTACATTTTACTTAATACTTCAAAGTATATTATGGAGTTTGCTTCATAGGAGTATACTCTAGTGTGATGTGGTGTTAAGGATACTTTGCCAGAGTATACACCACACTACCTTGAAGCATCTCATTAACATCCCTACTTCATTACCATATTAGCAAATTTTTATACAGATATATATCGATATATAGCAGTTAATCAATATATATCAATTAAAAATTATTAATATATATCAATTAACTGCTATATATTAATATATATTACTAATGATAAATAATGATTATTGATATATAACGATTATAATCATTATCGATTAATAATGATTTTATAAAATTCAACTAATTTT